GCATGAGGGTTGTGGGCGGGTGGGTGCATGGGGGCCCAGCCCTGGAGCAGGGTGCCGCCGTGCATCGAGCCACCTGGGGGGCTCTTCAACTGGTGGGGAGATTGTCACATCTTGCAGGAGCTTTCCTCTCCTCGGGGCTCTCTCTGCAGGAGGGGGAGATACAGGAGAGGTGGAGGAAGATCTCAGCCTGGGTGTTTATTGTCTTATGTAGTCTGGAAGATGAGTGGATGGTGGGGTGGGTGCAGTTTTCTCTGTGGTGGGGTTGGGTGGACTGTCCCGGGCTCTGTGGGGCCGGGAGGCGCTGCTGCGCTGGGCCCCCTTTCCCTGGCGGGTCGCGGAGTATGGGGGTGCCTACTGGGGTCAGCGGGGGAGCTGGCCCCAGGGAGGGGTCACTTGCCCCTCCCTTCCTTCCCTCCCCATCTCCAGCTGCCTCCCTCTTCCCGCTCCACCACAACCACCCACACATGCAGGGCCTTGGAGTAGGGGTATGTCACCAGGGTGCAGAGGAGGCTACCCCCCCCCTCTGTCCCCTTCTGGCTGCCTCTGCCTCAATTTTATCCCACAACTTAGACATTCACATTACTCACACTCTCATTACACATACATATAGGATCTTGGGGGTGGGCACGATACACGGATCCAAAGTACCATCAGGGTGTACACCCCACCCCTGGCGTCGTTGCCCACCTCTCAATTTTAAATACACGTAGACATTGAGGGCTAGCAGGAGGGACCATGCGCTTACCTGCTGCTCTCTGGCAGGTAGCTCCATGCCCTCCTGGGTTTTAAATGCACCTTAGAACACACATGCATCAACACTACAATGAGCGGGTGGAGGGAGGTTTGGAGTCTTCTCTCACCCCCATTCTCTGCGCCTGCTGGAGCGGGGGGGCTAGGAGGAGGAGTTGGCCGTCCGACTGCGGTCTGGAGTGTGGGGCCTCCCTGCTGCTGCGGAGTCGGGGCGGTCTGCCTCCCCCCACCGCAGGGAAAAGGGTAACACCACCTGGGTCTGGGTGCAGTTCCCCCCTCCAGGGGCAAGGGTACCTAGACCCGGTTTGTAGAGTAGCTTGGGGAGTGTGATCGTGTGTACAGCGTCTCTTTATGTCTGTCTCCACGTTGGTTGAGTGTGGAGTAAGTGCATATGAGAGCATGAGGGTGGGAATGGATGTTTGTATTGTGTGTGCCTGTATGTCTGTGTCTATATGCTGCTGAGTGAGCCCTCATCTGGGACTCTCCTCAGCTCTTTCTGGGACAGTGGCGCGGCTGCCCCTCTGTTGGTCTTCCTTGGTCTCTTGTGTTCTGGGGGCCTCTGGATGTCTGGAGTTTTGATCTCCTCCATACCTGCTTCATGCCCTGGAGGACGGGGCTGTGGCCCCCCCACACCCTCTAGCAGATCATTACATGAAGGAACCTTTTAAAAAAACAAGCGCGTCCATGCTCACAGGTGTACACACGGGTGATCACACCCACAAACTACACCCTTTTTGGCTCCTACCTCAAAGCACACTGTGTTCTGTTGATCTTATGTGCTGCACAATAATGTTTAATATTTAGTATTTACTGTCATATTCCCATATATCATTGTGATGTTGTTTATTCTATTACTCTTGTTCTCTTCTGCTTGTTTTCTTTTTTCTTTCTCAGCAGGTGATCCAGGTGATTGATATATGCATTTTTTTTTCTTTTTTTTTTCTGCTCATTCTGTTGGTTTTTGTTTTTGCCCTTCTCCCCCGTCCCTCTTCTCAGCTGTTTCTCTTTCCCTCTTTCTTTCTCCCCTTCTTTCCCCCAGTCAAGTCTGTCCCGTATTCAGTAAGTGAAAATAAAATAAACAATAAAAGGTGAATCAAATGGACCATTACGGCAAGGCTGGGATGGTCAAGTTTGGTAAAGTAAATCCGTTGGGCATCTTTCTTTGCCTTTAGACAACAATTCTGATGGCAAAAGAGCCAAAGCAGAGGCTGTATCAAGACTAATGTAATCTAATAGATAATTTCTATATTGGTTAGAATTAAGATTATTTTTATTTTTCCAGTTCATGAGGACTGGAAAAATAAAAAATATTGAATGTTAAAGTAAATGGCTCGACCGTCTAAGTAAACTCTGCAAACGTGTCCAAGTAGACCTGCCGTTTTGCGGTAGAAGTCGCAGACGATTGCACACCGTCCAAGAGCACTAGCTGGGCGGTTGGGTTCATCTCGGTCTATTTGTGTTATGTTGCTATCCTCTGCAAAGTTCCTACGTCTTGGGTGATGGTGTGACTTGTTCGAATGCCGGTGAACATAGAAGCAGGGGTTCGGTTTTATGTATTCTGTTTAACCATGGGGTAGTTGTAGGGGTAGGTGGGGGTAGTTTACGGATCGGCTGTGCGTGCAGGCACTCCAACTTGCGACTCTCGTTTCTGTTTATGCTGCAAACAAGCGGTGAAAAGGAACGTTATCACATATGAATGGCCCATAACATAATCATTCTACCAATATGTTTTTTTTTGCACATCGGACCAACTCACGAGATGTTCAGCGTGTGCACCTAGCTCACCTTTCCCAGCACGATAATATCCGCTTGCCTCTAACCCCCTCAGTGGACATGCACAACAGCTGGGCAGAATGGTCAGGGTTTATCCTGGTGACGCTGAGGCAATAAACGTATAATATCAATCACAGTGTTGTAGATCAAGTTCAAATTGTAAAACGTCCAAAGACACACTTGGAGACTTACACCAACTCCTCTCTGTCACAACTTGGCCGCTTTGGGAAGACTCGAAAATCCGACAGTCTGCCTTTAACGACCCGAGTCCTGGGACACATGCAGCGTCCTGGCGTAAATGCAGCAACAGGGAAGTGTATGATTGCAGTGAGGTTAGCGTAATAGCGTTGGTGATAAAACAGACACCCTCCTAGACTCTACTAAGCAACAAATGTGGAAACTAACGACAGAGTGCACTGAGGTTGAGACACACACACAC